ATTAAAGGAAACATTAAATCGTTAATAATTTATTATTGTTTTCGTTTTTTTTTTCTTTATAATTTTTCATAAAAAGAAATTATACGACTTTTAGCTATTTTTCGATTGCGTCAAAAATCGTATTGAATTAATGGTATGAATGGATTAAATTATTTGCTTCTATTTCAGGTGTCGGTTATAAATTTTAAAATTATTTTATTATTATTTGAATACGACGATGGGCAACAATTTAAAAGGAGGTTAAATTATTTTTTTTTTATTTGAATAACTTATTCTTGAAAATAATAAAGAATTATTTTTTAAATTATTAATACATATATATATATTAATACTTTTTTTAGTATATATATATATATATACATATATTTACTCATAGATTAAAGCTCTGCCATTTTACCAGATTAAATGAATTTTTCCAGGAAAAAGGATTATTTAAGTATTATGTAGAAGTACTAGTGGGTCATACCAGGATTTTTTAAAGGCTTAATTCCAGGAGTAGAACACCAAAATCTGAACGAAATGAGGGCAATTAAATAATTCTAATATTATATTATTATTGATATAAATTCATTTATCGTTAATTCTTTTTTAAATCCTTTTTTTATGATAAAAATTAATATTAATTATTTCCTTTAAAATTTTTATCTTTCTATGAGGATAAAAAAGCTTTTTAATAAAAAGGTTTTGGTAATTAAAACTTCAACAGTAAATATTTTATTTCTTATAAATATTAGTTTTTTTTTCAAAATATACCATTGTATTATTTTAAATTTATCATGAAGAATAATAAAGAGAAACATAAATAAATAAAAAATTTTTATTATTTGAGGATTTCCTTTTTTTAATTGAATTATAATTTTATCATCAATTGAAATTTTTTTTGCACTGAATTTTTAAATTTATTTTTGATTACATTATTTGATTTGATCGCATTTGCATTTTTGATTTCATTAATTTTAGCAAAGAAATTGTTTCTATAATTTTTTTTAGTTCTTTTTAATTTTTATAAATAATTTTATAATATATAGTTTTTGAAAAGGAAAGAGAACTGTCAAAACTTACTAAATTATCTTTAAAGAAATGAATCGCTTTTATATATTACAATTCCAATATTTTTAGATATATTTTATTTAACTGGATAAAAAAAGAGAAAGTTGTAGAAAGTAAAGGCCAAAGTAATTCCAGTGACAATTGGAGTACTTGGAACTACGTTTTCTGAACTAGAAAAGTGGGTTCAGCAGATTGTAGGAGCATTAGAAATCTCTCTCCAGAAGAGCGCACTTTTAGGAACGGCTAGGATACTCGCACAGTCTTCAATCTCTCAGGCCTCTGTAGAGGAATCGGGCTTGAAAATGATCTGGACCATCTATGAGGATAAAAAAGCTTTTTAATAAAAAGGTTTTGGTAATTAAAACTTCAACAGTAAATAAATAACGATTTGGATCATTTTGTTATTCCTCTCCCCACTCTCAAACCACTATCACTAATAAGATTTTGCGCAATGATTATTTGAATGTTTCAATAAAAATTTCAATAAAAATTTCGTAAAATTGTGATAATTATACTAACATTAGTAATAATGATAATAATGATAAATAATAATAATGATAAAAATAATAATAAATATCAATATTAATAAAACAGCTCTTAGAAAATTGATTTCTTAAGCGCAGCTTTGTGTAAAGAGATGCTTCTTTTTTTTAAAATTTTCTTTTTAAAATTGTTTTCTTAATGATCATAACAATTGTTTTTTTCTCATTTATGCGTTTTGCTTATTTTACTTATTCATATTAGTTTTACTTAGTTTCGGAAATAGTTTAATAATTTGTTGGTTATGATTTGCCAGAGGGGCCGAATAGTATATGTCGCTTCAACTGAAGTCAGGTGTCATTTTCTTCTAACTCGTATTAGTAGCTCGTATTATTGTTGTTTTAGTTTTCTTTTGCCTATAAGAGCAAAACCCCTCAACCCGAAAGTAATTTTTGAAGCCATTTTTTTTTCATCATCTATCTCTCTTGATTATTATCCTTTTTTTCCTCTTCCCATTTATTTAGTTCCAGAAATTCATCTGCTTTTTTGGTACGATCCACTACAAGACTTTAATTTCAATTCAAAGAGATCTATGGGGTAATGCAAGAGGTATAGCGATATTATTAAAATATTTCTATTTGGGCGAAGTTCTCGATGCTGTTCTTAACGAATATTTATAAAATTTGAGAACCAGAAAAACGATAGAGACGGCATATTCTTAATTTCTTAACATATTCTTAATTTGGGTTCACTCTCATCAAGTAAATATTTTTCTTGGTCCTAAAGCAGGATTGGTTAAAAATCCAGAGATTCATCTGTACTTATGTCCTCAAACCAGTTTTTCGCAAAAGAATTTCATTTTAGCATTCAGCAGAACCACACAAATTAAAAATTATTAGATATTAGCAGAAAGAATTGTAATTTATTGGCAGTTAATTTTATTAATTTTACAAATTTTATACTACCATCGTACAAAGACTGAATCAACATAAACGCTATAACGTTATCAAGGAATGCACTGGTAAACGTTATTATCTTATCATTAAGTGCACATTAAAAGGCTATTAACTAGACTTCATTCACTGATATTTTTATTGAAATTCTCTGATTATTTCTATAATTTTCAATAATTGATTTCAGATGTTAGGGATCAGTTTACTTGTATATTTACTGTTATAAAAGCTTCATACTAAGAATGCATAGTCCTCACTTCAAATTTGACTTTACCCCGTTGATATTCTTTTAAATCTTATGATATTGTCCTAAAATTTCCCAATACTCTGTTACACTGTTTTCCTTTGTTTTCATGCTTCCCGAATCCTCATTCTTCCTTGATATTTTTCTCTTTACACTTCATTCTTTTAAAAAAGTGCGCTACGCGATTTGATCATATATTAAAGGGGTGGTGTAAAGGCGATACAATTGTGATAATATAGCAGAAAATAAATAAATATGAATTGATTAGATGTTAAGGAGGAATTTTAAAGGTTTTGGTTTGGATTTAAAGAATAAAATTTTAAAATAAAGCAAATTTATTCCATCAAATTTTTCAATTTATACCTTTAAGTATCATTTAAATATTGGATTAAAAATATAAATGATATCTAAACTGAGATTTCGCAATCTTATTATTCAAGTATCATTATCAAATATCACTAATTAATCAATTAATTAATTAAATTAATCAATTGATAAAGCATTTGTTGATTTTGTGAGAAAATTTGATAATAAAATTTTCCATAAAATTAAATTTTCTTACTCAATTTTAGCCCAAAAAATTTTCTTTTATATTTAGTTTAGTATATTTCATTATTATTTCAATTATTTCAATTACATATATATATATATATATATATAATTATATATATATATATGTTTCTATTTATTATTTTTGAAATATACAAATATATATTTTATGTATTTCGTTTGCTTCGATTGATTATTCTTTATGAGTAAATGAATAGATAACTATTACTATTGAAATTATTTTGTATTTATTTATTTGTTAGTTTTCAATTTAAATTTGTTCTAACTGATAATTTGATTTTTACAATTTTACAATTATTTTTTAGCTTGCTTAGTTGTTTTTTCATTTTAATTCTTTTAATATTTTTTTATTTTTATATAAAATATTTTATATTTTATATTTTTATATTTATTTTTATCTATATTGTTTAATATAAAAACTATATTAATCAATTCTTCTTATTTTCAAGAAATGTTTTTTAATTTTTTTTATTAACTTAATATTTTTTAATTTTTTATTCACATTCATATGATAAATTAATTAACTATAGGTACAGCACACGATGAGAATCTTCCAATAGGACATTATGATGAAAATGCAGTGATAAATCAGGGAACTGCTGAATATCCAGCACCACAATTAACTTTTCATCATGTGCATGGTACAAATATTCACCTATTACGTAATTCTCGTGTCGCAAAAAGAAAAGAATCGTTTTGTAAAGGACTCGCTTTTAGTTCAAGGTTATTCTTTGTTTTCTTCAATCGTTTTTAATCAATACATTTTTTATCAGCATAATTTTTACTTCATTGTTAATTAGAAAATGAATAATTTTGAATAAACTTTCTTAGAAAAAAGAAAAAAATTTGAGGGCAAGAAATATGATATGGGTTCCATTTTTTGTTTTTTTTGCGAAATTTTTTAACAAAATTAAATATTTTCATAATAAAAATAAAATGGAAATGACTGCTAGAATATCGAATTGTTAGTTATTTAACATTCGGGCGAATTGTAATTCAAAGTTTCAGAAATAATATCAATAGAATTATTATGAATATTTTTTAATCCTTATGAAAATGCTAATTTAATATTGTATAGTTTTTTATGCTATAATATGAAATGATTGAATATTAAATTTAAATTTAAATTGAATTAAATTTTATTAAATTTTATTAAATTTAAATTAAATTAAATTTTATTTATTTAATATTAAATGTTAAATTTAAATTTAATTAAATTTAATTAAATATTAAATTTATTAAATTTTAAATTTAATTAAATTTTAAATTAATAAATATTAAATTTTATTTATTTTAGACCTATTAGAGTTGATGAAAATGTATGTATACGATTCGCTGAAGTTGTTACAAATTGGTCAGGCGTTCTACGCTTTGGTGTGACGAATGTCGATCCAGCTTCATTTCGTGGCACCGATCTTCCCAAGTTATCTTTTTTAAATTATCTATTAAATTATCTGATCTAATCAACGCTTACAATAAAATTTTAATTGTTTTCGTTTTTTCTAGTTCTTCTATCACATTTTTTTAAATTTTTCAATTTCGATTTTTACTTTTTTTTCAAATGAAATATTTAGATTTGCCTGCCCTGATTTAACATCTAAAGATGGTTATTGGGCAAAAGCTTTACCAGAGCGATATTCTGTTGAAGGCTCAATTTTACATTTTTATGTAAATACTGAGGGAGAATTATACTATGGAATTAATGGTATATTAAAAGGACAATTTCTTAATGGAATAAATGTTTATTTACCAATGTGGGTGATTGTCGACATTTATGGAAATACTTCTGCACTTGAATTCGTTGGTTAGGCTTATTAGATTTTTCTAATAAACTTTTTTTCGAGTTAATCTTTCAAAAAATAATATTTTTTTTTTTCTTCAGTGGTAAATTATGAGCGAAATAGAATAGAACATTGATTTGTTTACACTTAAATAAATTTAATTTTTTTAAAATTAGATCCAAGTGATTTACGACGCTTTCGATTTGGTGGCAAAACTCGTTCACATAGAAATTCTTTAAGTGCACTTACATCAACACAACAAGCGTCATCATCGTCAGTTTCTTCTCCAAGTTCTACAAACATTTCAAATAATACAACAATGCATTTACCTCCTCCACGATATCATGCGGGTTTGTATTCGCATGATTGCATCATTGAAATTTTATTTCATTTAGTTAATTTCCAATTAAATTCCAATTTTAGGAGTCACATTTTCGCCGCTTACATTTCATACAGTTCGTGGTAAACATATTTCATTGAGTAAAAATTATACGATAGCAGAAAGGTACGCTCATGAATTCGCTTGTGGCTATGTTTTTTCTTCGAGACCATTGCAATTTAACGAGAAATTGGTGATTCAAGTATGTAAATTTCTCTTACTGCATTGCACTAAATTTTTCCAAATTTTTTCTTTATCTTTGTTTATTCTTTACATCATATATCGAATTTAAGAAATATTTTAATAGGTTCTGGAAGTGGAAATGGCTTATTCAGGTGGTTTGGCATTTGGATTAACATGCTGTGACCCAAAAAATATCCAAGGATCGACGCTTCCAGTCGACAGTGATGATCTTTTGGAGAGATCGGAATACTGGGTCGGTATAAAAGATGTTGCTGGAATGCCTAAGGTCACCGATGAACTTGCTTTTTGGATTACTAAAAAAGGTTTAATCATAAAGTAATTTCTTCAAAAAGATCCTAATTATAGAGCAACAACTTGATAGAACGTTTGCTTTAGTTTTCTATGCTGTCTAGCTTAGCTTTTTTATTTATTTATTAATTTGTTTAATCAATTCAGGCGAAGTATATTTTTCGAAAAATAATCTGCCTCCTCGTGTTATAATACATGTTGACACTGCCGTTGACTTATGGGCGTTTTTCGATGTTTATGGTACAACAATGAAGATAAGATTGCTTGGTTTGTTCTTTTCATTGGCTTTTATGATTGCCTTCATCTTCATTTATTCATTTATCGTGATAATTGTAAACAATTTCGAATTTTATTTTATTATTTTTCCTGTTTTTAAGGTACCTTAAAAATTGGTGAATCAATTCCACAAATAATTTCAACGTCACGTACTCAGCAAACACCACCAGTGCCAATATCTAGAAGTTCTCGAAATTTAGGGGAATTACCATCTGAATCTTCTTCTTGGCTTGGATCTTCAAGTAGCGATTTGTTAGTTCTTTTTTTTTTGTCGTATTCTTTTGGTTTTTTAGGATTAAAGTTTTTTGCCTAAGATAAGATTCTTAGTCTAAAACATTTTCATTATTATATTCTTATGTTTAGCTCGGTTTTTCTTATCTCACCATTTCTTTTCCCTTTTTTATCCAATTAAATTTTTTTTAACTTTTTTTATTACAACCGTAATTCTTTGTTTTTTTAAATTGTTTTCATTGTTCACCGGTTCATTCCTTGTAAAATTTTAATTTAAAATTGCATCACTCTTTTGATTTTTATAGAATTCGGTGGGCACCATCTGCTCATTCGAACCATCAACATACGACACAACGAAGTATATCATCTGAACCTGGCTCTTCTGTTACTAATCGTTCATTGTTCACATCCCTTGTGCCACGTTTGTTTTCTTTTTCATTTTCTTTTTTTATTTCCTTCTTCTAGAATTCAAATGCAAAAAAATATTTGCTATAAATTTCAGTCAGTGACGTATCTCCATCGCCTGTCACTTCTTCAATAGCCAATTCATCTGCAGAAAATAATGCGGTTCAAAGTCTGTCAGAAAACTTGCGTTTTAATGCTGTTGCGCGATCTATTTTATCTACTCCACCAATTCCAGCAAGGTTTCTTATATTTCTTATGTTTTCCTATTATTCTCATTCTGAATGATACTTCTGAAATTTTGAAAAAGTTTATCAATCAGTCAGTTGAACTAGAAATCGTGCAAATTTGATTTAATTTGATCTTTCTCAGAGGCTTGCAACAAGCTACTTCAAAATTGGCTCCACCTACCTTGCCTCCAAGACATCAAAGGGCACAGTCACCAAATAAGAAATCTGAAGAAATTGAAGCGGAAATTGGTGATGAATGTCGAATTTGTATGAATGCTAAGGTAAGTTAATATTCCTTTATATGCAAAGTTCCTTTCATTCATGGAATAAATAAAAAATTATTATTGAATCATTGTTTTTGTTATATTTCTATTTTGAATTTCTTTATTTATATTTCTTTATATTTTTTATATTTATATTTATAATCTTTATGTTTATAATCAATTTTTTATGCAATTTTTTTTCAACATATATAAATTTTCTTTTTAGGTAAATTGTGTTATTTATACGTGCGGCCATATGTCAATGTGTTATGAATGTGCCACTGAAACATGGCATGTGAATGGTGAATGTCCAATATGTCGAAAAAAAATCGAAGATGTTATAAAAATATACAAAGCTTAATTAGAAAAGTGGTGATGTTAAAATTCGTTAGCTGTTTTTGTTTTTATACTTTATCGTTTCTATTTTTCCTATTATGTTCTACCATGTTATTAATTTTAATATTTAATTATGAAATTGCCTTTAAATTACGTAGGAAAACTCGGATTATATCTGTAAATTATAATGTAGAATGGTCTTGATATTTCACAATAGGTATATTGTTCGTTTCGGTTTTTTTTTCATCTAAACCTTTTTATATGCATTAATTTGTTAAATTAATTAAAGGGCTGAAATATTAGGAAAGAAGAGACGTGTTTTTTTTTTCTGAGGAATGACATAAATTTTTCAGATCACTTTATTCAAATATTCGAATAGACGAAAAGCAATACATTTCATTTAAAAATCTTCCATTTTTTTAGGATGAAAGGTAAAATATAAGTAAATTTAAAAATTGAAGATGGTCAGCTTTCATATTTTATTCAATTCTTTTATCACCTAAGAGAATATTTTTAAAAAAATAATCGCTTTATTTGTTTTGCTCAAATTTTCATAATTTACCACAATTCTTTGGTCAGTCATTTGTGTAATTTTTTTTCCATTCGAAAAAGTATGTTTTTAGATGCCTTCCTTAGAACATATAAACAGCAAATATTTATTTGTTAGGTATTATTAAAATATTGAAGTGCGATTGTTTCTTTAAATAGTGCAAGATTGATAATTTAAAAAATTTTTGTATATTACCATTTAAGGAATTTAAAAACGCTTTGAATAATTTTATTTAAAACGTAAATAATATTCAGGGAAATCAAACCATTTTATATATGTAAAAATTTGGTCAAAATATTTATTTATACGTTATATTTGAAATTTTTTTAAAAATTATTTAAAATAAAATAAAATTGAAATTTTGCATAAATTTTTATAGTTCATTGCAAAATTTATAGCTTTTAGAAATTGGAATATGGATTTTGAAACGTAGAATTTTTTATTCATTTTTTATCATTTTCTTTAATTGTTAAATTTAATATTCAAAAACTGGGCGACAGTCTTCTTTAAGCTGAATTTGTTTGCTATAATTTTTTTTTTTTTTTTTCATTCAACATTGAAGAATTTTTCCATAGAGCATTCTTCTTTTTGGATACAGTTGATCTGAATCTGATAAGAGATTGATAAGAGAATGATAATTGATTGAAGTATAAATATCATAAAATATGCATTAAATTATTTTGCTTTAATTTAAACTTGCCATTATGGTTGATTTTGAATACTATTATGGTTTGGAATTACTATCGCTTATAAATTGGTTTTTTTTTTTGTTTAACAATTAGATATCAATTATGTTCAATAATTTTGATTATAATAGGCATTCTTTTTTTAAGAAATCGTTGAGATTTGCATATTTACAATATTTTATTCAATTCGATTCAATTCAGTTTTTTTTTTATTAAATATATCAAATTTTTAGAAGTTTTGATTAAACTTATTAAATTTAAAAATCGAATATTTTTAGAATGAAATATAATAAATTTGAAAAAATAAAAGTTTTTATTTATTTTAGATGAACGATTCATTTTATTTTTCTTATTTTATATATATGCAAACTGGAAAAAATTTGAAAATTTTTCCATTAAGGAAAATATTTCTTTTAATTTTTTTTATCATTTCATTTTTAATTCATTCATCGAAAGAATTTTGCATTTTTCCTTTTTTTTTTCGCGAATTTATTTAAATGTTTAGTGTTTTTAATGAATTTTTATAATTTTTTAATATTGAAATTAATTGTAATTAACGAATTTTGTTTTTTTTTACAATTATAATGAAAATTGAAAGTATAAAAATTTTGTAATATTTATTTGGTTTTCTTTATCGTCAAAACTAATCATAAATATATTTGTTATTTTTACTGTTTAAAAGGAGATGGTTGGCACAAAATTAAAACTGAAAGGAAAATTTTTCAAAAAATGATAAGATACATTAAGATTGGAGTTGCCTGCTGATAACAGTTCTTTATTAGAATAATATAGCCAGTGCACTGTGTCGCAATGAATGATTATCAGCAGTGGTTCACCAATATTGGAGTTGCTTGCTAACGATTCTTTACTGGGATATAGCCAATGTAATCCATCAGAGTGAAGGATTATCAGCAATATGTTAATAGAATCTATAGAACAACATTGAATAATTTACATAATTATCTATTTCTCGAAATTTTTTTTCGACTTTAGTTTCCGCTATTTCGGCTATAATTCGGTTTCTTTATTCGGCTATTCAATTTATGTTTAATTGATAAATATATAACTGATAAATCCATTTAGTTTGTTAATTGTAAAAAACAAAAAGAAGAAAATATGGAATTTCTCAAGGAGACCGATTATTCTTGCTCGGAATCGTTGGATTCTATCTCTCATCTCATCTCTTTTTCGATGCAATTGATTTTGGTTCTTTTTGAATATTGCGAAGGATTTCAGGCTTAGGTACCATAATTCATCCATTTTATTACTACTATCTTTGTCATTCTCAGTGAATATTTTGAGATATGTTGCGAAGAATTTTTATATTATGCGTTTTGTCATATAAAAGGAAAAACGACAAAATATTTGACGTTATTCTCAAGGAGAATTTTGAGGCGAATAAATTTCGAGGATATTTTAAAGACTGTTGTTTGTCCAAAATTCTGAAAGTTTTCTTACAGTTTCCAAAAGTTTAAATTCTATTTGAATTTGAATTTTGTTATGTTTTTTTTCTATAAATCCTTGAGTGAATTATATTTTGAAAGTAATCGATTTTCATTGAAAGAAGTTCCATGTAATTTAAGGAAAAATTCGTTAGGATAACTTTTCGATTTTAATTTCGGCACGAAATTACTTTATTATTGGTCAGTTAAATAGAGATTGAATAGAGATTAATCAAGAAGATGACTGATAACTGATATAATTATCATTAAAACTACATGACCAAAAAATAGCCATTTATTTCATGTGCTATCATCATATCATATCAGTTGTTTCGACTATAAGAAAGTATATTTAATAAGATATTTTCAAATATGATAGAGATTGTTACTATTTTATTAGCTATTTTATCTATAAAATTTTAGTCGAATTGAAAAAATTTCGAATGAATTATCCTCTACGATTTGATTTAGCACTTCAATATTATTTCACCATTTATCTTGTGAAATATTCATAGAATTTAATTTTATGGAACTATCGACCGATATTTAAATGATTGCTTAAAATTATCATAACAATTACAATACGATTATAAAATTATCATCGAAATCATTTTATTAGTTTTTTTTATAAAGAATCTTCAGCATTACTGTTTAAACTCGCTCCATTGGCTTGTCGCATTGAGCAATATGCTAGGGAATCCCTTGGCGATGGAAATACAGGTGAGTCGCCAGTGCATCAGCCGGCTTTTTGTACAAGTTTACTCCTGCAGGGAGTCGAGCCTCAATATCGGCGCTACCAATTGAGCAACAACCCACTAGGCCATTCTATCCCCAATTAAATTATCATTATCATAACAAATTATCATAATAATTACAACACGATTATAAAATTATCATCGAAGTCATTTTATTAATATTATATTTCATTTTGGAAATATTGCTAGCAAAATGCAGATTGAACTTAATATTATTAATTTATTCATAAAAAAAAAGCTTAGTGGTACTCTGACATATTTTATGTCATATTTTTTTTTAATGCTTTAAATATATAAATAAAAATATAAATAAATATAAAAAATAAAAAACATAAAAAAATATAAAAATTATAAGAAAATTTGGTTATTGTATTCGACCTTTATTAAAATATTGCCTCAAATTGTCCCATATCCCATAGATTCTAGGAAATCGAAAGTTTACAGGATATTTTTATCAGATATAAGGTTGATGAAATTGGCTTAATTCACTTTTCAAATCATAAATTAGTTGCTATCTATTGCAGAAACAAATTATGGAATAGCCTAAGGCGATTTGAAAATTGTTCATTTCGAAGGCCGAAATGATCGAATATAGTCAACAACTATTTCATATTCAAATTCTTGAAGCTGCACAAAGATTTGGAAATGATATTGCTTTGGTACTAAAAAGTTTGCTAAAATTTTATTGGATTTTTATTTTTTTTTTCCAATTTGAATTTTATATTTTTTATTATTTTTTATATTTTATATTATTATTTTATTTTATATATTTATATATTTTATATTATTATTTTATTTTTTATTGTTATTATTTTTATTACTATTATTTTTTTATTATTTTTTATATTATTTTTGAATTTTATTGTTTTATTGTTCTATATAATTCATTTATAAAAGCTTAAATATAATGAAACAAAAATTTTTTAATTTTTTTTTTGAAGCAAAAAGGCTACTTTAGGGTCGACCTACTTTCACTTCTTTGGGCTCTACCCTGTGCCGGGGTTTTTATATCTCATTGGGCCATTCGTCGACATCATTCGATCATCATTTTGCATTTTTCATACTCCATTGGCTATTTTTGCTTCTTTATGGGTTCATCGTCTTCTTGGATATTTGAATTTTTTTTGATTTATTCGACCTATTTTGACCTATTTTGGCATGTTAAACTATGAGATACCGCTCTGAATTCATGAAAATTGCCTTATCAACCTCCTCTTAATTAATATTACTCTTCAACCTCCTCTTAATTAATTAATTAAAACTACTCTTAATTGATCTGATTAATTTGTTGATAAGTCAAGTTAGCTGCTGCTTCGAAACTACTTTCTATTTTTACGACCTTATTAGTAGCCGTTTTGCGACAATTCACTCGTTTATTTAAATTTATAGGAAAAGATTTGTGGTAAATCTTTTTGCACTCAAACTACATGTAAACATAAATATAAATATAAATATAGTATAATAATACAATAAATAATATTTTTATTTAATGCATTTGTTTATAATTGTAGACTGATGAACAAATTGGAAAAAACCTAACATTTATTGAATTACATGAATTATCCTATAAATTTGCTAGTGGTTTGCTATCGCTTGGTGCAATGAAAGGTGATGTGCTTTGCGTCGCTCTTGAAAATTGTCCAGAATATGCAATTATATTTCTTGGATCCGCTCTAATCGGTTGCACTATTTCTGGAATTAATCCAGAATCAACCATTTGTAAATTCCTTCGTTCTTATTTAGAAAAGTTATTATTCCATTTAAGTTATTTTTTAATTACTTTATAAATTATTTCATTAGAAAATCAATACAAATTAAGATTAAATTTCAAATTTAATAAATCAGTGATAAAGATGATAATAAATCAGTTTGTTAAATTAGGAAAAAGTTTATCGTAGTTTCCCACTCAAATTATTTTAAATATACTTAAAATCATTCCAATTATTAAAAATAAAAAATAATTTATAAACCTTTAACATTTGAAAGCATTAAGACCATATCCTTATCAGGCCATTGTTTTTCAATAATTTTATCAATAATTATGTCAGTAATTTTATTTCTTCGACTTTATTCCATACTTATATTCTTTAATATCAGTATTTTTCTTAATTTATTTTTTTCTTTTTCATTTTCTTATTTCTAAAAAAGGATATGGCCTTAATATGCTTTATTATATAAATAGTTAAAGAAATATTTTTTGCAAAATATTAATTCTTTTTTGAATAATTCTTAATTAGTTATAAGCAAATGCCTAAACCGTTTTAAGCATAGTTTAACAATTTTAATTATTCGATTTGTTTATTTAAGACGAACTTGAAAATTACATCGATATAATCAACGATGTGAAATTTCTTATATCATCGGCTGATAACTACGAAACAGTGAAAAATTTTATTGGTCGCCTAGCAGTATGTTTTTATCCATCCATTTTATATAATAAAATTCATAATTTCAAGAAAAAAGGACTCTTGAAAATATTTTTTTTACATTATTTATTAAGTCTATGCCTTGGTTTTACTTCTTGCAAGAGTAAACCTGTCCAAAAATCCGAGTGATGCTGGCTGCACTTGTCTGCACTTCTTTCGCCAAGAGACTTTCTGGCATATTCAATGCGATAAGCCAGTTAACCAGTAATGGAGAAGGCTTTTAAAAAAAAACCTATCCTTTATTAAGTAAAATTTATCAATTTCAAAAATCATACATATTTTGGATCGTTTTTTTAAAATTATAATACCTAAATTAAACGCGATTTAAAAAATTCTTAAATAGTACCATATCTCCACATATATTTTTAATATATTTCTACACATTTTCAGCTAATTATCATTGATAAAAATCCATGTCAAGAGGGATTTGATTTTATGGGTTTGATTTATAAATCCGAGCCGAATTATTCATTGAATGAATTATATCCGATTTCGTTAGACGATACTCTCATAACTCCATTTAGTAGTGGTACAACAGGTGCACCTAAATGTGTCGAGCTTAGTCACAGAAATTTTAATGCATCGACGGCGATTCTTAAAAAGTAAAAATTTTTGAGCTCTACACGATTATTCCACTGGTTTAAGTAGTTGAAAATATACAAATTTGCAGATTTTATTTTCGAAGAGTAATTATTATTGTATAAATTTTTACTATTTACTTATATAATAAAGCGCTATTTACTTGTATCAATAATTTTTCAATAATAAAATAATAATAAAAATTTAATAATAATAATAAAATAAGAATATTAATTATATGAGAATAATAAAAATTGACGAAAATTCATTAAAAATCTTTTGGCATAAAATTATAAATGAAAAAAAAAAAAGAAAACAAGGAAATATATTGAAATAAACTTATTTATTTAATATAAAAATAAATTTTTTTATATGTTCTCACTTAATTTTTTTTTTATAAATGCAAATGGTGCTAATATAATCCCCTTAGGTGCTTTATTCAACTAATTGATAGTAATAATTGGTGATTAATTTAGTTTTAAGCACCAACCTTAATCAAATTGTTCCTGATTAAGGCCCAAGTTCGAGCTAAAATATTCATAATATTCATTTTTACTGCAGCCAGGATTAACACTTCCAAGAATTCCAAGAATTGTTTTTTACGTACATATACATCAGATCTCATTTTATTTTCCTCATTTTCAAGGATTCTAAATCGTATAATTTTATATTTCATATTTCATTAAAGAAGTACAAAATCATAAAAATATAATTAAAAAATATAGAAAAGGATACCTATGGTTATCTACGGTTGTTACCTATGGTTTTAGGAACTAAACGACGAACCAATTTATTATCCTTAATTTCTTCATTTCTTTAAAGTTTTAGGGCATTTTTCGATGAACTGTCAAGAAGTAACCGGCGTGCGACTATCGCTATATTACCATTTCATCATGGTTCAGGATTTTGGGCTTTGTGCTTTTGTCTACTCGAAGGTCACCGAACAATTATAATTAGAAGATTTCGTCCTTCCATAATGATGCATTGCATCGATGAATATAAGGTAGAGGAATAAATATGAATAAGGTGGAAAATTTTATTCGCGGTCCTTTTAATTGAATCAAAAACTGAAAGCAACTGGTTCCCAACCCAGTTCTATTTTCCTATTTTTAATTATTTTATTTTATCTCAAAAGACTTCAGCATTTTAAGGTTGATACACTGAATGTCGTACCTTCAATTATTTCCTATCTTTGTAAAAGTATTGAAAATCGCAACAAGTGGAATATATCTTCATTGACCACCGTACTTTGTGGTAGTGCACCTTTAGGAAAACAACTCAGTAAACTTTTTCTTCAGCTCTTTCCTGGCGTAAAAAATCTTATACAAGGTTAGTAGATTGTTTTCATTCGTTACGACTAATATATGATGAATATTTCTAATGTTCTATGAATTTAAGCTATAGTTTTTTCTAAAGTGTGGTAAATAATGGTACTGGAAACAATCTAACCTAGAATTTCTTCACTATAGATTCACTATAAATCTATAGATTTATTCAAATGGTAGAAATCGGTTAACTCAATTTTAGGCTATGGTATGACTGAATTAGTGGTTCTAAGCCATATTACTCCGATTGATACGCCAATGCGCGAAGAAAAATATTTTGGTAGTTGTGGAAAATTAATGCATGGATTTCAAGCAAAAGTTTTTTTTTTTTTTAAATGAATTTCTTATAAATTTAAATAAATAAATTTTATTAAAATGTTTTTTTTTTGCAGCTAATACATAGTGAATCGAGAAAAGAAATTAATGTACCTAATGAAATAGGCGAATTACTTTTAAAATCCGAAGCCATAATGAAAGGTTATTTAAATAATAGAGCGGCAACTGATAATGCAATTGATACGGAAGGCTGGCTTCACACAGGTTTTCAATAAATTTTACCAGCTTTTCATAAATTATTTTAATATTGTCGCCTAAGAAAGTATAATTTTTTTTTTTTGCTAAGTATAAATTTTGTTGAAAAAAATGGAGATTTAGAGGAGAATTTTGAATGGTGACTCGAGTGGTGATTCGGCTATACATGGGCTTAGACGACATAGAGAAAAGAATGACTCGTGTTAACTTCTGATAGATATGGTATCAGATTGAGCAGATTGGGAATTTTACCTTTATAGCAAGCGGTGGTCAGCTTAATCAATAATAGTATTTTATTAAAATGGGAATAGAATTCTTAAAGATTTAAGATTTATTGTACATAAGCCGCTAGATTACTGAATTTCTTTCTCGGCAGGAATAATACACCTGTCACACCTGTCCAAAAATCCATGTGACGCTGCTGGCTACTTATCTCTAGTTCTGTTGTCAACGGATTTTCTAGCATATTTGCCTAATCCAACAAACCAACCAAGCGAATGATGAAGAAAAATTGAATTCTTTTTTTCTAACAATATTTCTGGGTTGACGATTTCCACTTTTCATTAAAGTTAAACATTTCCACATTTCTGAATAATTTCTGGATGTTGCCATTAATTTAAACCACTCGTTTTCCTAACTTTTAATGCTAAACAGGAAATCAGGTAATGCAGGAAATGCTGCTGCACCACTTATGAAGGAATTTCGAAAACAATAATGAATGCTATAAAAAATTTTAGGTGATGTTGCGTATTATAATGAGGAAGGCTATTATTTTATCGTTGACAGGTTAAAAGATTTAATCAAAGTAAATGGCCTACAAGTATGCCCCAGTGAATTGGTAATATTTTTCAGTACAAATTAGCAAATTATTCCTTTTTTTTTTGTTTTATATTGACCATTTCCTTAAATTTCCTTAAATTTTTTATTTTTTATTTTAAATTTTAAATTATTTTAAATTTTCTTAATCTTAAGGAGGATTTATTGAAAAGTCATCCAAACATAGCTGATGCCGCAGTCATTGGAATACCTGATGAAGATCACGGACAAGTAGGTGATTTCTTAATCGAAAGTACCATTAAATTTTTGCTATAATAATTTGCAGTTAATCGTTTTTGCACACTAAATTCGAATTTAGGTACCAAGGGCTTATTTGGTTCTGAAAGATAGAAATACAAAAATTTCGCTTGATAATATTGAACGATACATTCAAGGTTATTTATGGTCAAAATTTAGAAATTAAAATTATCGTAGGAGATTTGAATATTTTCATTTAATTCTATAAAATTTCTCATTTTTTTGGAAAAAATTAAGCGAAGAAATTTTGCGAGACTCATTAAATCATTTTCGTATAGTTTTGGTCGGAAAAATATTGGCAATAAGTAATAAGAGAGAAAATTTTTTAAGTTCAAAAAACAATGAAAATCTGAAAATTTGCAAAAAAAAAAAGGATTGCATCATTCAAATAGAAAGGGTTGCACCATTCAAATATTTTAATTATAGAAAGGGTTGCACCATTCAAATATTTTGATTGCAAAAAGGATTGCACCATTTAAATATTTTGTTTGCAGAAAGGGTTGCACCATTCAAATATCTCAAAGGAGGCATTCAAATCATCGAATCATTGCCGAAAACATCGAATGGAAAAATTAAGCGACAAGAATTAATTGACCTAGGATAATTATAATAAAAAAAAATGTTTCCTTTATTTGTTTCAATTATTTCACATAAATTTCAAAATGACCGAACTTGAAACCAAACTAAATTCCAGCAATAAGTTCCTTCAAGTCATAAATATTTGCTTATCTATTTTTCCAAAGAGATATAAGCATAATGGATAATGGAATAAAACTTCGGTCAGATAAACTGATAAACTGCAAACATGCATTTCAATTTAGCTATTTTCCAGTTAATACTTTCGAAAGTGCTAATTTCTTAATAATTGTAGATTGGATAAGGATTTGCATATGTATACTTTACTTTATATATGTGAGAGTTTCCTTATCAATTGTTTTTAACAATTAATAAATTTAATTGTGACGGAGTTTCCAAAATGGACGACATCAAAAGCGAGGAGACCAATCAAGAAATAAACCATGAGAGACTTTGAATGCGTAGTTATATATCACCTTAGATTGTGGAAAAAGAAATGGATTTCTTTTATAGTATGGGAATAGGTCAAGAAAAAAATGCCTCTAAATGCCTCTTATTTATTCCTCGAAATGTTCACGTGCTTAACTTGTAATGGTACTTGTTAATAGCGAAATTATTTTAGGGTTGTAGGATTAAACACCAATTTGAAATAATTTGAGTCCAAACAAGAAAAATATATCGAAATGAAAATATTATTGGTTAGTTATAAAAAATTTTATTGTTTTTAATGTTAATTTTAAGCGACTAGATGAGGTGAACTAAACATTATTGCACAAGTTGAGATCACAATAAATAAAGTAAAAGTGAAAAGACACATTCGATCGACAACCATCGCAGCAAATTTCCAATCATTTTCAGCTTGTTCATCCTAAATTATCAATTTTCGATAAAATATTTTGATAAAATATCTTACTTTATAGATAATGAAAAAATCTATAGACGCAATATTTAGAGGGCCCAAAAATTTCACCAAATATTAATGATAATAATGATGATAATAATAATTTAAACAAAAAAAAACTCTTAGAAATTCCTCTTAAAATTTTGAAGATTTTCAAAATCTTCTAATTCCTCTAAATATTAAAAAAAAATGAATAAAAAATATATAAATAAGAAATATTCGTGGAATAAAAAAACCAATCGAAAGCTATATGATATATCGGAACTAACTAATAGGGCATTCTTTTTCTTCTAACAGCTCTCACCATTACTGGTTAGGCTGGCTCCAACGGCTATAAGGGTAAGACGCTTCCAGGCGGCGCGATCTGATGCCATCGTCGACAGTAATAGAAGCCATTCTTTTTTCCATCAGATAAGTCCATATATTGCTGGTCCACTTATACGTTCAAAATCTTTCCTGACCGTATCAGTCTTGATTGGCCCATTTCGCTTTTGACGCCAACCATCACACAGTTCAGCAAATAACGAAATAAGGCATTAAAAGAAATAAATGCGACAAACTTTTTCATCTTCGTCCATTCGCCTTCGTATTGCTTTCATATGACCGACGATATCGCGTAGTTCTATGCATGCTTTTTGAATTCCTTTATTTAATTCGGAAAATATTTCCACTAAAAATTTATAAAATTTATAAAAAAAATTTTAAGAAAATTATTAAAAATCTTATTAAAAAAAAAATTCAAATTTAATTAATATAAATATCAAATGAATTCGCGTTGAATTGATACGCTATATATTTATAATATTCAACTTTTAAGTACCAATTTCTTTAAAATATCCCAAATATCCCAAGTTTTTTTAAATATTCCCTTGGGTAATTCTTATTATATCCATTAATATTAAAATTAAAAGCAATACGAAAGAGGAGCATTTAAGAAGGTAGAAAGTAGTTTAAGGTGAAATTTCATAGAGATATGATAAAAGAAGAATATTTTGTAGAAGATGGCGAGAAAATATGACTGGATTTGACAAAACTGTGCTGGGTAGTAGTGCACAAGTTAACGAGATTAGATGGATTTAATGGAAATAATAGAGTTTAGAGGAAATTTGAATGCATAGGTAACCCAGTAATATAGGGATTTAAAAAAAAACAGTGGCCCTAATTAATTTAAAGGATGGTATAATCGGGAACGGAGCGCGAGGCGATGGTTTAAAAATACCTTATTATTGCATTCGCCAGTAGAATAAACTAAACCAGTCATGGTACCTAATTGGTAGCTAATCGAGAAAGATAATTCATATGCACACCAAGCCAGTATTTTATTATTATTATTATCATTATCATTATTACTATTACTATTATTATTTATTATTATTATATGAAAAAAAAAGTTGTTGTCCTTGCTTTTCTTGTTTGTCGATCTTCAGTATCATACGGATTACATAAAATATGTATGAATTCCGAATAGTTTTTACTTACTTTAAATGATAGAGGAATGAAAAAAAATTAAGTAAAGTAAAATGAGATTTACGTTTTTGCGGTGATAAATCAAATGAGATTTTTTTCGAATTTGATCTGCGTTGGTCAATTTGTTGATGCAAATTAGATTGTGATATATTCTATAAAATAGAAGCTTTTTGCTTCTTTGATAAAAAAAAAACAAATCTGATAAAATTGAGTTTCATGAGAAAGAATAAAATAGGCCTAATAAAAGATAAATTGAACCATTTTATTAATTTTAGACTATTTGCTAAAATTAAGTCTGAATCGGAATAACTTAATTAAAGTGGGTAGAACAGTTCAGTGCGCAATTAACGCCATTTCGAAGTGGCGATATTAGGGTTCGATTCCCAAGAGGAGCAAGGAGCTTTTCAAAAATCCGGCTAGCAATTCACTTGTACTTTTCTTGCTAAATGATTCTTTTCAAATTTGACAAGCCAAGCCTAGCCAGAAAAAAAAGAAGAAAAATAATAATAAGCGCTTTTAGAAATTTCATGTATTTTCATATATTTCAATATTAGTAATTATTATTATTTAATAATATTAAGCATTGGTGAAATAGGAGTTATGCATTACACGATGATAGTTTTGGAACTTTAGAGGACCAATAGTTGTGATAGTAGAAGAATTTCCAGCGGTAACACTGCTAACGCTACCATCTGAATCCACAGTTGGACTGAATAATTTTTCTGATTTTATACTTCTAAAATTTTTATCATTTATGTTAATGAACTTTTGTTTAAAGAAAGAAAATTTTCGCTCTTTTTATAGATTTATTTTGCATCTATAAATAGGCAAAATAGGCAAAAAAAATATTATATTTATTTATTATATTGTGATAATATTATATTGTGATAAGATAATTTACCTTAAAAATGATAAACTATCAGATGGTTGTATATTGTTCAAATAGAATGTGCCAAAATATGGCGGATTATTTTCACCTTTTTCCGCTTCTTTGAAAGATTGCACCGAAAAAAAAGTAACACCTGGTCGACGCATCATTAATAACCACGGTAACCAATTTAATAGACATTTGCGCAACTGAAAATATGCAATATATGAAAAAATCTGATTATTTTTCCTTTCGAAAGAAGAAGAAGGGATTGCAATTTAAATATTTGTATAAAAAACATTCTAAGCATTAATTGTTTAAAAACATTAATTTAAATATTTGTATAAAAATATTAAGAAAAATGAGAAATATTGTTTTATTTATTTAAAATATACAATGAGATATTTTGCTTAGACTTAGACATAGATCGAACACGAATTACTGCCTCGGGAATAAATTTGCATTTCAGTAACAGTGAAATCGAGGTGATATTAGAGATTCACCTATATTTTCTCAAATGGTTCGTTATTCTATCATCAAGTGATAAACCAGAAATGATCTATTTAATTGTATTGTATTTTCACCAGCAACAATTCACCTTAATCACCTTAGATTATTCAATCAATGCGATTAACTGATACCATAGCTGATGGGTTCTTATTCGTTGATCAGCTAACTAACAATAATGTAAAAATATTGATAACTTCAAAAAATATTATCAGAATTATCATTAATTTTATTTAACAATTTTATATGATAATTTTATATGATAAAACTTACAAATGGGCTCATTTCATGAGTTTCAGGCTTACGATTGTGTAAATTGAGTACAAGAACAGTGAAAACAACGCTAGCTGATACAACGAGCATGCAACACGAGAAAAATGCACCTGAATGCAGTTAAAAATTTTTAAAGACCAATTTTAAGCGTATTTATTTGTAATTTTAATCCGATTTAATATTTAATTTTTCAATTTTAATTTTTTAATTTTTATTTTATTTGTTGTTCATGATTCTTATCATATTTGTAATAATTGTGATAATTGTGATATAATTTAAATAATAATTTAAAATGGCTAAAAAATGTCTTCCCTAGCGAGCCTTATCCAGCACTATAAATTTCTCTACAAAATTTAGAATTGATTTGGATTTCATTTGTTTTAAACTAATTGGATAAAAAATCATAGCTAAAACATGGCCAATATACTAACGTACTACTGTAAAAATGATTAATTAAAGCTCCATTAAAAAAATTCACCTATTAAAGGCACAGCTTCTGACGTTGGTGGTGTCATATCAGCTACCATACTTAAAAAAAAACAAACTGATAAGAGAATTGTTATCTCTGAAAAGAAAATTAATTTTACAGAAATTTTAAATATTTGATAATGTTTAATAATTAAATATTTGAAAAATCATTTTTTCTATGAGAAAAAAATTTTCTTATGGAAAAATTTTACAAACAAATAAAAACAACAACAGTGCCTTGTGGATGAAACCTTAAAACTAAGAATAAAGTTCCATAAGCTGAAATAATGGCGTTCTTGAATAAAGCTCCTTCCTTTAGGCAAATTTTTTGTATTATTTGTATTATTTGATCTCTAAAAACTTATCGTACCAAGTGTAATCTTTTCGCCAGCATCCGGTGGAAGAGTGAATCCAAGAACAGTCATTAAGGAAATAAGTAAAGATGGAATAATTAGATTCAATCCATAATATAGGGTTCTTCGTTGAATAACGAAAAAGAAAAATATTGCACAATAAGGCTCATTGCCGAATTCAGATCTTTCTAAATATGCCGGAGTTGCTGAAAAATTATTGCGTAAGCAATCTGATGGATTGCAATCAGAGGATAGGATAATCGAGTGGCTTCACCTGCCTCAATTTATTTATAAGCTTTACAAACGAAGGGTATAAAACTCGAATGGTACATTCACTTAGAAGCACCCTTCTGCCCTTCTTCGATCTTTTAGCAAGAAATTTCCATAAAAAAAGTCAGTGAAGCTAACCGAAAAAATTGAAAAATTGAAATTGAAAAAGAGAATGAAAAAAGCCAATCATTATAAAATTTGAAAATTTTGGTAGATTTCTTACCTAATAAATTCCATTCCCCATTTTGTACGTAATAACTTGTGTCCATACTTGCACTACCATTTCCATCTACTGTAGAAATTTGCAGATCTATAAAATTTCCACTATATGTCCACGAACCAAACTGAAAAATCGATATTATTATCCGTTATATGATATGATAATATGATAAATCATTTCAACTTTTTGCTTTTGATTTAAAATATAGGAAATTTACTTTTAAATGACACATTTGATCGTCAAAAGGAAACCATGTGATGTCGATTTTACATGATAATTTCATTATTCCCGGTGGTACTTGTAAAACATTCCCGTCATTACTAACGACATAATTCACCGGATACATCGATTCAAAGTTTTCATCGGCACTAAAATATTTCATTTCTTTATTGAATTTTTATTATCTTCTATCATTTTAAACCTACTGATAAAAATAAATATAACTGTAAAATTTTAATGAGTTAAGGCCTTTCAGGTTTGAAATTTTAGAATTTAGATTAAAAAATTACATTTAAATTAGCAATAAGTTGTAAAGTACCAAGCGGAATTTGTTTTATACAAATAAAATTAAATTAAGCATTGAGAGATAGATGATTGTTAAATTACCTGTTATAAAGTAGTATATCGGGTTTCCAAATAGCATTTGCTTGACCTGGAATGCGAATATCTTTAATACCACCATATTCTGCAGGATCCCATCGTAATTTATAATCATTCCAAGTCTATAAAAAGTCTATAAATGAGGAGTACAAAAGAAGAAATGTTGGCCTATAAAATCGCATTTATCTTTCGAATTACTTGAATTTTCAAATTTGCCAAAATTGTGATTGTATTTATGTAATTCCTCTCATAGGTAATTAATAACTGCAAGGAACAAATGGTACTTTCATTAATTAATATATAAGTATATGAACCCTAAAGTCTAAAAGAAAATGGCATGCTAAAAAAGATTTGTAACCATAGGGCATTTAGAAACAGAGCTAATAGTATTTGTGGTTCAAAAATGGGTCAAAAATAGGAAAATGAATTTTAACACTAATTCTGCCCACCCCTCTTCTCCTTACAAACAACACAAGTTCCATAGGTATATATTTTTTATTTTTTATCATTACATTATTTTATTATTATTTTTATAATTTCTAACGTATTCAATCCATACGACGAGAGTTACCACTTGATTTTTTTCATCCTGAAAGTTTATTTGATGGAATCCAATAAAACTGAAAGAAGCAGTATTTTATTTCAGCTAATGGTACTTTCATTATAATATATAATAATATATAATAATCAATATATAATATATATATACATATATTAATATTAATATATAATGCATCCTACGAATCTAAAATGGTCTGTTAAAAAAAATTTTTAACCAGAGGACATTTTGAATGGTACTAATAAGTCTACGGAAATTATTTAAAAGTGATTGCAAATTAAAAGAATTTTAAAAAATTGGTTTTAGTGAAAATTTTTAAAACAAATAATTAATTGTCATTTTAAATAGTTATTCGAAACTAACCACATCTAAAATTTGTTGAAGGTATAATTTCATGCTAACATTCAGAGGTAATGAGCTATTTGAGACTGGTCGCTCTAATGGATCATAATTTTGCCTCAAATCCTTTAATAGACGATATTCGTCCTCACTTGCTCGTAGATATTCAAATAGTACCACAATAACGACTATTAATATAAATATATGCATTAAAATTATAAAAATCTTAAAAATCCTAAAAATTGAACTTGAACTTGAAGTTGAAGAAATTAATTATTGCAAAATGCAAAGAACAAATGGTACTTTCATTATTGCAAATATAACGACAGATATTGTTGTACTGTTGCTTCAACAGAGATTACAAAGTTAAAGATAATAGGATAGATTCAAATATGAAATTAAATATGAAATCGATGCAGAGATGGAGTAGAGAAAAACTAAGAGAAGCCTGGCTAGATTGCTTCCAATGGGTAATATAATGAGGCGTTTCTAAATCTCTTGATCAGATAACATATCAGAGAATAAAAGAAGTCATCCTTTTTTTAACTATTTAAGCATGAGCTTTATTGAGCCATCTATTCATTCCAAATCTTCTGACCACAACAATCCAGGTATTGATAGAGCTTTTAATACTATCAATTACAAAATACGTATCTAGCGAAATATACCAATTCATGTTGGTGTAATGGAGGATCCAGTATCTTTATGAGAGTCAGCGAAATGAGCTATATACCATCGATATAAGATCCACAATCCTGAACTGATTTACATATCTCTTAATTTATTATTATTATTATTATGAGGCTATACGAGCTCTCCATAAAAAATTGTCTTGCAATGGTGGACGCTTGTTTTAAATTGGGAACATTTTCCTAGAGCTCTCTCTGGAACTATTCCGCTTATATTTTTCCTTAAAGTAGTAGTAATTGTGGTACTAGCCTCTTTCTATCGATCGATCTAAGACGACGGGTATAGTTGTTTTTTGAAATCGTTGTTCCAATTGCTTTCTTGGTAAATAAAATTGACCAGCAAAATCTACTCTCATTAACCAAAATTTGAGCAAATTTTTCTAATAGGAGGTATCTAATTTCTCGATATCTTGAGTTAAGTTTCTTTTTTATAAAAAGACTAGTACCATAATTGAAATTTGAAATATTCTTCAAAATATTATCGTTATTATGCGATTCCTTAGAAGAATAAATAGAAAAAAAAGTAATTTCCAGAGAAAGAAAGTTGGCGATTCATGAAGAAAATCAAAAATTGCAAAATTCAAAAATTTATAGAAAGAATAAAGCAGATTTAATACCATATGTTAATAGTAGTAGAATAATATAAAGGAAAGATAATGGTGAGAAACGAAAAAATATTAGTGATAAAAAAAGTAAACGGAAATTATGAGGAAATTTTGCTAATAGCTATAAAAATATGGTACCTAAACAGTAACACTTTTATACTTTATATATTGAACAGTTAATACTTATAATACTTTTCAATTATGGTACTTTTAGTTGTAAAGATGGAAAAGCATTAGTTTTTTCTCAGCTCAGTTTTTTCTTTTTTCTCAGCTGAGAACCATAATATCTGAATAATACTCTTAAAAGAAATACTCTTTATTCGATTATCACCAACCGCCAGAATTTGGTATATCATATATTGGTATATCTTGTGGAAAAAAACCCTTACCCAGTCCCCGTTAAATCCCGTAACCTTTTAACACTTATCACTGACCTCCATAGTTCCGTCTAATTTGCCTCTAACTCCCCCCACTATGTTCTCTTTCGCTCTAATTCGCTGGTAATAAATCATTTTGAAATCATCTCGCATAGCTAAATTTTAAAAATTTCCATATCACCTTACAGTCTATTAACTCCTTCGCGAAACTCCCTTATTATCTCAATACATTTTTAAAACCGGCGGTATTTTTTCGTTATACTCGATCAGTAACATTAGCTTAAACCAGTTTTCATTATCTCAGTTCATCAGATATTTATCTCTCCATAATTTCCCGTAATCTCCTTAAAGATCAAATAGTGCCATATTATTTTGCATTAGCAACTTTCCTAATTTTATATTATTTCTAACAGGCTCAATCTTCTATGCCCCTCACTCTCCTCGCCTTTTTTCCACTCCCCCCACCCCTTCTCCCATTCTCTTCATTGTCAAAACTGGTTCTATTTTTTTATTACAGAAAGAAAAATATGTAACGCATTAAGAAAAAATCCTTCCCAAACCCCGTCAAACACCCCTAAAAACCCCGGTCTTTCTCTTAACTCTTTTTTAGGTAATAATAATTCATTTTTTGTAACACCATTTTAATCCCCTTTTTGCCACTTTTCGATAATTCAATTAGAAGCTCTCAGCAACAATTAGGGCTCTCATATTGGGCTTTCATCAACAATCTTCCAGTGTAATTTTGGCGCGACCAAAAATACAAATTGTTAAGGTGTAAAGAGCAGTGCATAATCCGAGGGGAGTATCGAAGGAATTTATTAAGTTCATTAAGATTTAAATTTTACTATTATGGAATTTTTCTGTAAATTTCAAGCCAAAACTTCTAGATCTTAGCCAAATTTTTGATAGAATATTACCCATAAAATTGGGAAGCCAATTCTTAATAATATAACTTGCCGTGATTTAAAGTAAAAATCTAAAAATTTCCCGAAACCCGAAGAAAGTAACTGAAATATGTTTCCAGAAATAATCAATTATTACGTATAGAATCGATGATACCATCTTAATGCATTTTAGGATAGTTCCACAAGCGATATGAATATAGAATTATTTCATTAAATAATCATTTTTTGAACAGAGATATAAATGGACCTTCAGTATTCATTCTAATTTCAGGTTAACACCCATAAAGCGCCTAATAAATAAAAATAATCCTTTCACATGTCATAATCGTTTCATTTCCACTTACAACACATTGGATGTCGTATAACGAGAAATCTAATTGGTACTTCGAAATCGCTTTAGAAATTCAAGAAATTTTCATTGAAAATATTGCCGAAAAATAAAGATCGATTAAAATATGAAATTTGAAGCCTTTTAAAATTGAAGAAGGATTAAAAATAAATGGATGCATAAATCGAAAAGATTACATAAACCAATGACAACTAGAGTTCGTGCTATTTCGAGCATTATGATTGCATATTCAACGATTTGGTCTAAAACAAATCGCTTCGAGGCGGAATTAAGCAATAATCCTCTTGGGTAAGCTAAAATTATTACTCTTTCTAATTCTTTATCATTTTTCTAAATTTCCTTTAAAAAAAAAATTAAAAATTTTTTATTATTAAAAATTTTTTAAAAAAAATTACAAATTTTAAAATTACAAATTACAAATTTTTTAAAAATTTAAAAAATTTAAAAATCGTTTAAATTATTTTTGTTTCAAATAAATTTAAGTAAGCGAATAATTGCATTACAGTTTTTTTACATTTATTTGCATATATAAAAAATATTTAAAAAAAAAGCAAAAATTAGCAAATAATAATTTTAATAATACGGTCAAGAAAGAAGACTGCACTTGTAACGATGGAGATTGAAAGACAATTAAGTAAGAACTCAACCGATAGAAAGCGAATACTGCAAAAAATTTGAGAAAATAGGGCTTTGAGTCGCCTCAATTTCCATTAGATCAAAATATCTTATCAGTTAAAACAAATGATTAAGAAAGATACTCTTGTACATTATGAAATTTTAAGAAAAAAATATTAAAGCTGGTGGACATTAACCAACAACTGTTTGGCTGCTTTAGCGACTGCATATGCTGCATTGCATGTATCATCAACGCTTAACGTTGGTGAATTACACTTGGCAGAAAGTAAAACGGTTGCGTTTAGCATCTCTTGAAGACAATTTTCAATTGCCGGCGTCTTTTGCTCGCTTGGTATAACGTTCATTAAGCGATTTATTTGTAGTGCTATCTAAAATTGTTTTATTAAATGGAAATCTCAACTGAGAAAATTTCAAATTTCAAATTTCAAATGAAAAACAGTGGTAAATAACTCACAGCATATGCATGATCTGAGGCTCTACATTGTAATTTACCATATTGAGCATCAGTTAGCAGCAGCTTAATCGTATGAGTAAGTACTTCGGTTTCAACAATAAGATTGTCGGGAAAAACTAAAAACCCAGAAAGCTAATAAAACGGAACAATAAAATGGAATAGAAAAATGTAGTCTAAATATGTATAATTTCAATAATTTCCCATTTATTAAGTAAAAAATACCTCCAGTATCAAATATTTCTTGGAAATCTAGTCGCTGGTTCTTATTCCTCGAGATTTTCTCGGAACCAGTGGTTCTATTTGTAATTAAAGAATGATCTTTCTCGACAGTTTCATTACCACTACTATATTCTGTTGGAGGAGCACTACCATTTCGATGAGAAAGATTTCGAGCAGTAGGAGGATAATGAGAAGATGAAACAAGGCTATTACGACGTTTATCGATACGAATCAACTGATTATGATTATCAATGCGCAATGGTTCTTAAATAATTTATAATTAATCATAATTTATTTATAACCATAATTTCATTAAATTATTGAAAAAACAAAAAAACAATAAAAATAATATTAAAAGATGAGGAAATTTCCATCATCTTCATCGTTAATCAAGAAAATGACCATTAAAAAATTATAAATAAAATGAAGAAAAATTACCTATTGGAGGTCGTGCTGGATTTACCGTCTGATAACTAGAAGACAACGATCGAGTTAGAGAAAAATTATTCAAATTTGAGGCATCTGGAGCCAATGAAGAAACCGAAGATAGTTGCGCCTTCACAATATCTTGGTGCTAAAATATAAAAAAATTACAAGATAATCTAACAAAAAGAAAAAAAAAACCATCAATATATAAAAATTAGGAAACTCGAAAAATTTCAATGAGATTATATTTTTTAAAAAGAAATAAGAAATTAAAAGAAAATTTTGTCACTAATACGGCTATTGCGATTAATTGTAACAAAAAGCCCAGATAGTAGCCCACAATAGCCCAGATGTAGAGTACTTATAATCATATTTGAAAACAAATATTTATCAAGCTTTATCAGTTCTGTGCAGTAGAGATAATAAAATCTTTTGAAGCGTAAATGCAATTACATTCGTAATGATCTAATACTTATTAACCAGGTTCAAAACGAGGAAATCAGAAAAGAACTCAATTTAGAACCAAAAACTAGAAGAAATCTGTAATAAAGAATTTTAAAAACTGGTGAAATTACAATACAAAATCGAATACGATATTATCTGCTTAAGAGGAAAGAGGTATTGCCGAATGGGACTGAAGAACCATGTTATCCTGGAACCATTTAACACTGTTTATTTTTAAGAGATTTGATGATATTTGATTTTAGACAATATTTTTTAACAGAATACGAATGGTAGGGCCTGATTAAACTTACTGATAAACTGATTTAGATGATGAACTGCAATTTATTGGATTTCAGTTGGCATACAAAAAGAGTAAACAATGATAGGTTACGAAAGGATGATAATGATGATGAAAGGAAGACTTACAATTTTGCTAGTTACATATAAATAGCTTTAACCATAGCATCAAATATTCTAAATCCTTGATAATTATAAAACAGCTACAAATCTCGAAATTTTTTTACTTTTCTTAAGTTTTATCACTCATATTTATCGCCCTTGTGATTACAATGAAATCAATCCAAGTTTAAGTTTATCACTGAATTCATTCTAGTGTGGATTTTATAGGCTAAGATTGATTGGTATAACAATGATATATCACAAAATAACCAATTTATAACTTTTAAAATATCCTAGATTAGAATAGTAAGAGTTTTCATTACTGTTAGCGATGGCATCGAATAGCTCTTGCCTTTACAATCAGAGAGCCAGTCTAACTAGTAATGGTAAGAACTATTAAGAAAAGAATAAGTACCACTCACAATACTTGAAAATATATTAGAATACTGTAATTCTGTTTTGCCTGCTGATAAAAAATTTTTAAGTTTTTATAACAATGATCACATAATATTATTTGAAATAAAAAAATATATATAAAAATCATCAAGATCGAGATCGAAAAAGTTGCGTAAAAAACAATTAAATAATCTATAGTAAAAACTTCCTGTTGCTTATCTTTAAAGGTTTTAATAGTATTTCGCATAATAAATTGTCGAGAATGTGATTAATAATTTAAGTTTTAAGTTTAATAAGTTTCGATTGGGAAATAGAAATTGGAAATTTATTCAGATATTAGGTTCTAAACGATCGTTTGCAAGGAATTCGTGTTAATGATCCTCTTTTAGAATTGGCTTTAGTTATGCATCAGGTGTTCCACATGGTAATTTTTTTTTATATTGCTTTTCATGTATATTAGTGAAATTATCAAAGTTTTTCTTAATTCTAATAGATATCTGAATACTGATAATTACCTATAATTACCTATATAACAATGATAAATGCATGTTAGACCGAAGAATTTAACAAAATGACAAAACAATTCAGTGACTTTATTTAGATTAAGTTATCCTTAGATTATTTTTAAATAAATGTGAAATCTTGCCTATCCCAAAATTTCCGACTAATTTATACTTATATATATTTCATTACATTCCATTAACGAAAAACAAATCATAAGTTAAACCATAAGTTAAACCATTGCTGAAATTTTAATCTTAATCTTTCCCGTATTAGCTATAAATGAAAACTGAAATTATTCAACTTGGATTCATTAAAAATCAAAAATAAAAGTAAAGTAAAAGTAAATAAACATACTTATAGAATATTATTAGTTTTATTATTAACCTAGCTGGCAATATATATCCCAGTTCCAACTTATATTTTAATATAACTCGAAGCAATTCGTTTAAAAAAATTGCCCTCGAAATAAATAAACGGAAATTTCTTTATTCGCCTTATTAATTAAAATAAATCTCCCAATGATGTGGGTTTATTTCCATCCCTATCCAATTTCACGAAAATTATACAAAATGCTATCGTGAAATAACTTCGATTTATTGCTTACTTATTTAATTAATCGTTATTAATCGTATTTATCGCTATTTTATTTCGCAATAAGTATACATAATATTTATTGCTCTGTTTAATTGTCTTCCTAAATAAACAAATAAATAGGCAAAAAAATCTGCATTAAATTCTTACCGGCTTCTCCAGTAATTTTTTAATGGCCAAGTGTAAATCAATGTTATCTGTATTAATGCGATCAATATTCGATTGTAAATCTGATAATATTCTAAAAAAAAAGGAACTACAAGATTATCTATAAGAGTTTTACTTAAACATTTTCATTAAGAAATATACCTTAAAATATGCGCATTTCCTTTTTCTAATGAAGCAATACTCGATTCGGTTGTTAATACTTTTTCTTTTAAGTAAAGATAGTCATCCATCGAGACGTTTCCAATGGCTTGCAATATACTATCACTAAGTCCACTTTTCCTTTCAGATAATCTTCTGAAATATGAGTAGAAAATGAAATCCATTTAATAAAAGCATACAAATTGAAGTATTTTTAATTTTTTATCAAGTTGATAAAAATAAAAAAATGAAAAATGCAAAAAAAGGAGCAAAAATGTTAATTAAATTACTGCAAAAACAATTAACCGAACACTTTCAGATCGCTGTCGTTTGCCTTGTGGACTATCCGCCACTTCATCATAATCTCTAGTACCTCCATCACTTTTAGTCATTATAAATCTGGAATTAAGCGCGAATAAAATATAATAATTTATGAATTAAACGGAAAAGGATTTCCAGAAGATCTGAAAAAAGTTCTTTTTATTGGTTTAACTTTTGTTTATAAATTTATAAATTCCTTCGTTTGATTGCATGAATGAAAATAAACGAACTCGGAATCATCAGATGTGAGATTCAATTCATCAGGTCCTGTTTTATTCATGAAACTGTCATCATTTTTGTTCGGTAGACCGAAATATCTTAAAATTTATTGAGTAAAAAAATTTAATGATGGTCATGAAAACGAAATAAATCTCAGCATTTCACAAATCTCATAAAATTACCGACGCTTCGCTTCATTTAAAATGTCGATAATTAGAATAGCAAAATCTCTAGAAGTGAATTTAGCGAGTTTTTGTCTCAGCTGATTACGAGTCGCAGAAAAATCTGGATTCGGCTGCAAAACGGAAAATTAGACCACCAAAAGCAATAAAAAATAATTTTTCCAGTCGAGTGAGCGACATAATTATGCACTAGACATCACTAAAAAAACAAAAAAATAATTAAAAGACAACAAATTTATCAACAGATTTTCTCAATACCTTAAAGAAAGAACCAGGTATATAAAGTTTCAAATTCAGAAGTATATCTCTGAAAAGGAAAAACGAATTTCAAAATATCTATTAAAAAGCAAAATATTCTTACCGGTAAAAACACAGCAATGCACTGATCATTGCCTAAGTGTGAATTATGCATTCCTTGCATCGTCACATTCCACGCAGTAGCTGTTTCCCTCCTATCCACCTGAAGTAAATTAAAGTAAATTTAAAAAATTAAAAGAATATTTTTGAAAATTTTTAAAAAAATTTATTTTTACAATTATATATGTATTACCTCATCATAAACATCCTGTACTAATCGCTCAAATTGAGAACAAGATGCAGCACAAAGTTGTTGCTGTGATCGTTTAAAAGTTGTCGAATCATCGCTGCCTCCTACCAAATCAGGAATCAGAAAATACTGCTCCTTAGAATGATCTGGACGCCTGCCACAAAGATACATGCTTAGTCTATTGGTCACTTCGAATTGTAATTCTTCCAGTCTTGCTGACAGATCATTCTTAAATAACAAGAAAATCGCTGGCAAAACAAAAAAATTGACAATTTATTCACTTGAAAATTGAATTAATTCTTGAAAAATCGTAAATGAAAAGAAGAAAGAAAGAATATATTAAATGCAAAATCAAAAGAAAAAAATATACATGATTCTCCAATTTCGCTACTTGAGATGGTGTAAGATCAGCAGCATTAAGCTGCCCAGCATCAGCACCATAAATCCATAATAGTTCTACCTAAAACAATGCCAAAGGAAATAAATAATCCGGTAAAAATAAAATTTTTAAAGCCAAACCTACATATCGTTTGAAAAAAATAGAAAATAGTTAAAAATAGTTAAAAAACCTGTAATGATTGCCCTTCTTTTGCAGATATATGTAGTGGAGCATTTTTTTTTTCTGGATCTGCATAATTTGGGTCCGCACCAAGGGCCAATAATCTGAATAATTTTATGAAAATACTAATAAGAAAGAGCCTTTCATAAATAAATAAATAATAAAACCTTAATGTCGTTTCTACATGAGCAGTTCTTACGCAAGACCATAGCTGACGATTTAAATCTTCTTGACTTATCAAACAATCATCTTTTGCAGGTCGTATTGTAAATGCCATTTGAGCATATTTTGCTTTAATGAAATTTTCCTTTATCGGAAACACTGGATCACTGAAATAACCACCAAATTAAACGAAACAAAAAAAAATATTCAACAAAAATGGTGAAATTTTGGCTGAATCTATCATTGATGAGTTCCATTCTGCTTTAACTAATAGTTATGAGAATACTTGATTTGTCTTCATGAATCAACAAAATATTCGATATCATTTGAAATGATTTGTAAAATTGATGTTAAATTAATATTTGAACAATCGATCCTAGCAGGTGATCATGGCCTTTGACTAGAATAAACTTATTACTGAAAATTCGGAGTGTTGAAGATTTACCTTTATCTCAAACCCTCAGCAACTGAGGTGAAAAAAATAAGTAGCCAACCAAACCATTTGCCGTTAGAAAAAAAATAGCTAAGATTTACCTGGATCTTGGTTTTCTACCAACTTTTGTCGATGTTTGAGGATCCAACAGCGAATGTTCCCATATATTGTTCGATCCATTCGAATATAAAACATACATCAATTCTAACTGATTACTGTTCCATGTACCCTTTTTCAATGATCTAACTTGACTAACATGACGACCTACAAGCCAAAAACGAAAATAATATAGAGATAAAAAAGACTGTTTTATATATTTTGATGTTAAATTAATATTTGAACAATCGATCCTAGCAGGTGATCATGGCCTTTGACTAGAATAAACTTATTACTGAAAATTCTACTTTATTCGACTAACTTTTATAAAATTTTAACCAAAAAGATAACTTATAATTTCCCATATGCGCCTGGAAAAAGTGGCTGCAACTCAAAAATGTTAAATCACTGATATCTACCAAAACCTAGGACATTCCATTAAAAATCTTCTCAAATCCCTCTTTACCTACCTTCTGCTAGGATATGCCAAAACCCACTTTTGTCATGCCCCAATTGCAAAAACTCTTTTAAATTCCAGAGATCCAGTTGCGGTCCCTTAAAATTACCAAGGTGCATTTCTACTGCAATCGCGTCCATAACTTATTGGAATGGTATTAAGATACAAACAAAGATTTACAAAAACAGATAATGCTGCTGCTTGTCTATAGGCCAGTCCTTTTCATTTTTAAGTTTTTGATGTTACCATAGCAAAAAATATAAAATATTTTCCATTGACATTATTTATTTACTATTATTCTGACAATCTCAAACTATAACTTTCCTCTTTGCATTCGCAAAAAAACTATACTATATTGAGTTCAACTTTTAATTCGAATCCTATTAATTTTCAAAACCTTAAATATGCTTTAAATAACTAAAGGATTATTCTTTTAAAATAGAATAATAGTAGCGAAAAGTTTTAAGGTTTTAAAATAAACCGAGATTTCGATGAATATGACAACATTCCGAACAAATCAAAACGCCTTTATTTAATGAAGCCCATTGTGGATCACTGGCACTGCAATCAGCGCAAAAAAACGTTGGACCTAAAATTACTGGTATAAATTTAAAAAATAAAATATATAAAAAAAACCGATTAAAAACAAAGAATACAAAAAAATGGCTTTAAAAAAAAAAAACAAGACATTTAGCATATATAATAAATAATAATCAGTAATATATATTTCTTTGCTTCTAACAATATTAGTAATAACGCTGGCTCCACTGGCTGACTAATAATACGTTTCTAAGCGGCTCAATTAAACGTTTATACTCCATTTTCTATCTTCTTAAGCTCCTTATATCGCTAGGCCAACTATATTTGTTAATTTTATAGAATTGCCAGGAAATGTTACCAAATAGAATTTGAAAAGCAGTTCAGCGTATATAGCTTAGACGATGAAATAAGAAGAGAGGATGCTTTCTATTATATTTGATTGAAAGAAACTTGCAAATATTTTATTTTATTAATAAAATAATCAAATTAAAAATCAAAAAATCATATAGTTTATAAGAAGGAAAAAAAATTATTTTTAAAATAAAAAATATTTTTAAAATTATTAAAAAATAAAATAAAATTTATAGGAAGTGAAAATAATAAAAATAAAAGAAAAATATTTATAGAAATTTTTTAGAGTACCACTGCTGAACTTAGGGAAACATGTCGCCGAAATAAAAACTCAGAAAAGAGAATATCACTAATAATATTACTGATTACTGCCTGACTTCATTAATCGCCTCTTTATCGCTTTCTATCGCTAAGCGACTCGCTAATAAAGTGTTTGTCCAAACTGATAAGCCAGCGGTAATGAGTCTTATCACAAATGATAAGCATTCTTAGAAAAAACAAAAATAAAAATAAAATAAAATAAAAATTTTGATAAAAGAATTTTGATAAAAGATGATAAAAAAAAAAGTGAAATAGGAAATTTCAATGGAAACTATTAAATAAAACCTGTTTTCGGTATTTTATTGGACATTTCGGTTATCATTGCCAGCGATTATTTATCAATATTTATTATTTACTTTAGAAAAAGCAAAATTTTATCAAATCTCATTGCTTTTAAATTTTCGCTTCAGGAACCATATTAGCTTTGCAGCACAAAATTTTTGAATCTACAGTATATCTTTATAAATTTATGAAATTTATGCGCACCTTCAATAGTACCGCCGCCGTTCCGCATTACGAAATCTTCTTATATTCTCGTAATGTCCCTTCAAAATTTTCGCAATGTCGTTTTCCTAAAGGTCTAATGGGTTATGGATTGCGCGAGTATACAAAATTGCGCTATTTTTCATCTTTTTAAATTTCAAAATTCAAATTTATTTTTAGTTATTTTTTATTTTTATTTATTTTTATTCTTTTTATTTTTAAAAATTTATTTTTTATTTATTTTTATTTTTTAATTTTATTTTTTAATTTTTTATTTTATTTCAAATAAAATTGAATTAATTTGTTTAGTTGGTTATTTATTAAAATTGCTTTTTCCATGCGTATTTCTATCTCTTTTAAATTTTTCATTCTTAAACACTAATTTAATGGTGAATTTTAATTATTAAATAAACAACAATAACAATTATAAAAAATAATTGTATAAATTTATTTTTACATTATTTTTAAATTATTTTTACAATAATTTTTAAATTATTATTTTTATTAAATTTTATAATATTTATATTTATTATTATATTTATTATTATTTCCATTAATATTATTATTATTATTCAAATTTCTAATAGTTTTTAGCAAATTTTGAAATTCTATGAAAATATTATTCCTAAGTATTTTTTTTTTTTAAGAACTCTCACCATTATTGATTAGATTCGCTCTACTGGCATGTCGCATTGGACAAATATGCCAGGGAGTCGCTTGATGATAGTATAAGAAGTACAGATGAATCGCCAGCATCACTTGGGCAAATTTACTCCCGCGTGGGGGAAAGAACCTCAGCATCGGCGCTCCGAACTGACCAACAACCCATTGAGCCATTCTTTTCCCACTCCCACCCCTCTCCCCCATTAATAATTCAGTAGGAATTAAAAAGTTAAAATATAGCCTTAAACTTTTCAAGAAATTTATACTTAATATGTTGAATTGCTTCTAACTGTTTTCACCATTCTTCCACTAATGATTGCTTAAATTTAGCCAAACGTAGATTTTCTTTTTTCTGAAAATATTTTATATTTTTGATTAGACTCGCTCGGTTGGATTAGTCGAACTAATCGCTTTATCACTCGGAATCGCTTAGCGATAGAAGTACGAACGAATCGCTCGTATGATAATTCAGATTTTTGATAAACAAGTGAGTTTACTTATGCCAAAAATAGAAACTCATTATGAAACCAATTAATCCACTAGGTTATTCTCTTTTTTTTTGAGAGTGCTCACCATTACTGGTTAGACTCGCTCCGCTGAACAAATATGCCAGGGAGTCCCTTAACGGTTGAAATACAAGTGAGTCGCGCTAGTACCATTCGGATTTTTGTACAGGTTTACTCCAGCGGAGAATCGAAGCCTCGGCATCCCAGCGTTTCTCTGCAACAACAATCAGCAACAATCCACTGACTGAGCCATTCTAATTTTCTTATTTCAAATTATATTGGAATTCTTTTAGTAGTACTAAATTAATAAATTAATTAACAAATAATTATAAAATCAATTATTAAAATAAAAACGTAAATTTGCGAAAGAGAGGAAATTTGTCGAGAAATTTTCACTTTACTTATCTTCACGATATTTAGAAAAAGTAAACATTAAATTTAATTACAAATGATCAATCTTCGTTCACTTAAAATCATTTTGTTTAGTAACTTTACAAATTCTATTTATTATTTGTTTGTTTCATTTAAAACTGGAAAAATATTGCTCGTTGATTTTCTCGATTAGCTTTATTTATATTATATAAATATATACATATATTTTAAAATTTTTTTAGCAATAGTGAGCGATGAATAGTGAGTTTTTTTTTTTGTATTCTTTATAATAATTTTTATTTTTAAAAAAATTAAATTTAAGTTGAAATTAATTTGGATTATAACTAAGCATAAATCTGTTTTCTTTAAGTGGTACCATAACAAATATAGCAAATAGGTTTGATAAGAATGAAAGCTATTTCGTTAGAAAAGAGTCATTCGATGGATAAAAATGTTGATAAAATCATAAATACGCAGAAATTGAATCTATATAGCTTAAATGCAATAGCAATTAAACCATATTAAAGGATTTGCTACCAAGGCTTTTAGAATTTTAGGATGATTTTCTCTATGAATTTACTAAATTTACTATTGCTAAAAAGCAAATTTTAAATAAACGAATATTTTCGTTTAATAATAAAATTTATCGAGAGAGAAATAAGTATCAAGTATTTTTTAAGTATCAAACATTTATGATTCTTTACTTTTCAGCCGTTAGTCATTTTTCTTTTTTCGAATCATTAATGATTAGGTTAGTTCCACTAGCACTAAATATAATTAAGGCAGTTCTGAACTGTTAGATCTATAGCTATAGAAGCTTATCTATATTTGTCAGCTATTAAATATTTTTTTTTTTTTTAAAGAAATAAATAATTGCTTTAACTTATTATTGGTTCAGATGAATTTTTGCCAGTGATGACTAGTTATTTGACGATAGAAATTCAAGTGAATCACTTGAGGAGCTATCCGGATTTTTGAAAAACAGGTTTATCTTCGGCTCTAGGATAGAACCATCGCTTCGATATCGCTCTCGTAGACAATAACCCATTGAGCTATTTCATCTTGTTAGAGACTAACACTAAAAATATATATTTATTAGCCAAGTTAAAATTTTAAAAATATTTATTAGCCAAGTTAAAATAAGCGAAATTTTTTAAAATTTTTAACGTTTGTTATTTTAGACTTTATTTTGTTTATTTTTATTTCTTCTTCAACTACAAAACATGAAAAATTATTATTTTATGAGTGCATTTATTGTGTGCTTAAATCCAATAACCATATTGACCTCCGATTGGCTATTCAATAATTATTTAAAAATCGTATGAAAATTGATAAAATATAAAATATTTTATTTTTATTAAAAATAATTTTTATTTTATCGTTTTTATTACTATTTTATTATTGTTTCTTTTGAATAGAAAAAATATGCCCAATAATTTTTTTTTTTTTGTGATTTAAAAAAAGAAAAATGCCTTAAATATTTAAATATTTTTAATAAAATAAATAAAATAAATAAATAAATTTTTAAATAAAATATTTGAAAATATTAATTTAATTAAATATTTAAATATTTTCATTTATTGCATAAGCTTAAACTCATTTCATAAAAATGAGCCAATATAGAATTTTTATATAAATTTTACAAATTTTGTCACTTTTTTTTTGAAATAGTCATTATTTTAAACAATTTTCATGTTATATATGACACTACACAATTGATCACAATTGAATAGCGATTTTTATTTTATGAAACTTCTTGTCGATTATTCGGTCAGCTTCGATAGAAAATCACTTATCTTGTCGGTTATTTGGTCAGCGCCGATAAAAAATCACACACGCTTTATATATTTTCCTTTTATTTCTACTATTTGCTATTTTAATTTCTTCTAACAGCTCTCACCATT